TTTCACTCGTAGTTTGACATTCTGAGTGAGCCACCAATGGTGCAATCTGCGTCGCGCATTCAACCACTTCTGCAACTCTCACCACAACACCACCTGCAGGCAATGTTTGCGTCGACTGTGTCAGTGTCACTACCAGGTCGGAGGAACGCAGCGACACGTCGGCCAATGAATGCTGCACACACGTTCTTCCCACTCTCCTACTTCCTCCAAGAGGCTGTGATTCCAGTGCGCTGGAAGCTCTCACCACTTCGATTTCGGGCTCAGCCTCAACAGAAGGAGAAGGAGCCAGCAATTGAGCATGCACCCCTGTGACGCAGCAATCCACCAACCTCGTCGCGTCCAAGGACCTCTCCATCCCACCACTTCCAACCGCCTTGTTATGCACTCGACGTTTCACTTCCACGCGTACTTGACAAGCCTTCGACCTAACTTCTATCTCCGCTCCACGTTCACCGCCTTCAAACCCACCTTGCTCTTCTGAACACACCCCGACATCGCCTCCACCCACCATCACACTCGTCATTGTTGACGTTGCCTTCACTGCTACGTAACCTGGCTTACGTGACACTTCTGCCGACAGTGGAACACTCGCCAGAGTGCCAGTAACCTCCATTCTCCTCCCACCATGTGCAACTGCCTCCAACGCCTCCGCAGCTCCACGACACACTGACTCGCTCACCACAGCCTCCACCACATCGTCTACTTCTGTGCTCCTTAGCCCCATGTCAGTCTGGGCATCTGCGTCCACACCCATTCTCCACGTTACGCCTCTAACCGTCTCCGTTTGCGTCTCCACCTCACTCGCTCCAATCATCCACCGTGACGATACATCACAGTGCCACCGCTCCAATGTTACAGTCGACTTCGTGTGCACGCGACGTGTTGCCTTAGCACACTGGCTTTCACTTGACGCGGCCTCCTGCCATCCACAAACACTCACTCCGGTAGAAACTGCTGTCGATTTCACCTTTCTTCTCTCCATGCATTTACATGAACCCGTCGGCTCACCACTGCAGAACCTCCGCCGTCTCTCCACAAATCTCAATTTACCCTCCTCCGTTGCCACGGCTGCAGCATGCTCGCGCAAGTCAATCTGACAAACCGTCTTACCTGAATGCTTCTGGCCACTTGCGGAGACAGTAGACGCGCCTACCTTGGCACTTACTTCCAACGGGCTAGTGCTCTCATCCACACGCCTACTTCCTCCAACTCCTCTTCTTCGCCTCAACAACGCCGCATAATCTGCATCCTCGAAGCCGCCGCCTGGCGTCTTCCTACCACACAACGCCTCAACGCTGCTTGACGCCGCCGCCACCGCCGTCGACACTAATCCACCAGCCCCTTCTGCAGTCTCACTACCTGTAGCCTCAGCGATGATTCTCTCTCTCCTCAAATCCATCTTCGTCGTAGGTGAATCAACCGGTGCGGATGGTGGTAGTGGTGATGGCGGCTCTGATTGTGTCTCACATTCGGCCTTCACCGACGTCCACCCAACCTGAGTTTCCGCACTGAACAACTTCACTGGGCATATGGCAGAGATGCCTGATTCCTTGATTCCTCTGCGCTTCATCTGCTGTACCTCACACTCCACGTCGTCGTCGCCACCGTCGTCATGCCCTGCCACTACACCCACCTCCAACTCAGGCGTTTCAATCCCACTTGTCATTGACACTGCTTCTAACATGCCACTTGCGTCTTCTCCGTGTGCACGCGTAGACATTGCCTCAGCAAGCATCATCTTCATCATCATCGACGTTGCTGCATCCCTACACTCTATCCTCATCCCCACGCTTTTGTTCTTCACTCGCGACAACTTCAAACTACCTGTCCTTGCTTCCAGACCACGCTCACACTCTAGTAATCTAACTTTGTCTCGCCAATATGCTTCATTCTGCCCAATGTCACGTCGTTTCCGCGACTCCTCCTCAACTGGTACCGCGGTCATTACCGCAGTGCTACTCACTTCCACGGTGGCTCCTGCAGCCATGTCACGCGCAACACCAGCATATGCTCCAGCCTCATTCAAGCTCTTCTGCGTCGGTTCTACTGCCGCCTCCAACATTGTCATTTCACTCGTAGTTTGACATTCTGAGTGAGCCACCAATGGTGCAATCTGCGTCGCGCATTCAACCACTTCTGCAACTCTC